CAGCTCCTGCTGCTGGGAAGCAGAGAGGACGGGAGGAGGGACCACAAACTCCAAGGCCACACCTCCATGACCCACCCAGACACACCTAGAAGTCTGCTCCACCAATGCACGGGCAGATCTCAAAGTCAATCAAATTAAAACTCCACTGTCACCCCTGCGCCCTCTCTGTGAGGACTCAGTGAGAAAGGGCGCTCTATGAGGAAAGGGCACCAGACATCGCATCTGCTGACAGCTGTGACACTTAGATCTTGGACTTCTCTGCCTCCCAACCTGGGAGCGAGACATTGCTATTGGTTATAAAACTACCCAACCTATGATATTTTGTTGAGCAACCTGAACATGTCCAGATACCTAGTGCCTCGTCTTACCATCGCTTTAGAGTTTCTAGGCTATGGGGCGGGAAGTAGGTGGAGTCCAGCACACTCCCCTCGTTGGGGTAGATACCCAATTCTAAACGACGGTGTCCAAGATGAGCACTGTGGTAAATAAAGAAGTCTTTATACCGCTATGCTTCAAAATGATATTTTCTTCTGTTATTTGCCCTTCTTCTCCAGGCGGGCAAAGAAAACACTAGCAGGATTTTGGGCACATGCTTCCTCCTCAGTTAAGAACATAACTGATTTCACTTTTACAGTGTATCACAGAGCCCGTAGACCCAGGTAAGAAAAGGATCCTACTGAAGGTACACAGCCTTTGGAAGAATGAATGCGTTTCTGCAAGTGGGAGTTGTGGACTGCTTGCCTTCAAGAGCAAAAATAAGTGAAGTGAGAAATTCCAAATCTACGCTTCCTCAAACAGTGTTCTGAAGAACAAGTCTTTCTGGAGATTGCAGAGTCAGCTATTGAGTTTCTGTAGCATAGGCTAGAATAACATCAGGCCCATTTAGAGCCAGGGTAAATTTACAGTTTCTCTTCAGATTCAAACATTTCTGGTGTGTTCGCCTTTTGTACTCCAACACAGGATTACATATTGGCGTTGCCGCCTCGTCTTATCTTATCTCGGCCCATCTTACCTTTCCCTACTTATCTCCTCCTCTGAAGTCATTAGGCCAATATTAAGACACCTTGAAACAAAAGCCTTTTGTTCTCAATAGGACCTTTCTAAGTCCTTCTTCCCTCTCTACCCTGACATAAAACATGTACTTTGTTTATCTTTTCTTTATGAGTTAAGGATTTAGATAGAAGAAAAAAAAAAAACCCCAAGTAAACATTTTGTTGGACAGGAGCAGCTACACGTGTGCACAGTCACCCAGCCTCAAACCAATTAGAAGAGCGAGCCCTGTGGAAGGCCAGGGGAGCTGAGCCTTTTGTTTAAGCAGGTGTCTGGGAGCAAGGAGACATCAGCCCGACTCAGGCAATGATGTGAAGAGCTGGCTTCACTCATCGCTTGTTGTTGAGCCCCGGCAGGAAAAATGTAACAAAAAATGCAGAGAAAATCCTTCTCTAAGAGATCTGGGCCCAGAAATTAATCCAGGCAAGTATGACTTGTGTATCTGTATTTTATAAGGGCAGATTTCTCTGGTATTTAATTAGTGAATGGGTGGAATCAGTGCATTGAATTGAAGGAGAAAACATTTCGCTTTCTAGTGTCTGAGCATCTCGAGCAGTCCAGGAACGATAGCTAATGGCTCTGAGCAGTGCTTTCCAGCCATCACTATAGCCCCAGTGATGTTTCTTGAATACACCGCACATCACAAAGCATTCAGAACTGAGCATCGCAGGTAGACAAGAGTGGTCTATCAGCAAATACGAGTAGGAACTAAGCCTAAACTGGAAAGACAAGCTCATTCAAGCTCATGGAGGGGACTACTCACCTAACAGATGTGCAGCAAGACAAATGGAGGAGGCTATTACTTAGCTTCATGGTGTAAATTTACTGGTAGAAAGGACCCTTCTGTTACACAAGTGATCATAGAAAAATCTGAAGGCATCTACTTGTGAGAAATGAGCCCTTGTGCCCACAGCACGGAGAAAGGGAAGGGGAGGAAAAAGAAGAGAAATGGGAGAGAGAAGGTAAGAGAAGGGAGAGGCACTAACATCACTGAGTCAGCTACTGTGTGCCAGGCGGGGCCCGGGGTTTGGAAGGACACCGGCTGGAGAGTGGTGAGGGAGAGGGCCATGGCCTGCGTTTCTCCTGCCTCCTGCCTACAAATTTTCTTCCTTTGCCTCTCTTTCCTTTGGGAGTGAGAGCACCACGTCCTTCTTGGGCTCATGGAGAGAGTGTAACGGTCTTGTCGGCCTCCCTTGGCGTGCTCATCTGGTTAACAAATTGCAGACAAGAAACAGTGCTGAGCTAGGAGTGCCGGTAACCGGTAACCTGCGGGACTCTGCCTGAGAGATCTGCTTTTGACTGCTCCACCCGCCACTCACGGGCCATGGGATCTGGGGCAAATGAGTGCATTTTGTTTTATTTTTAGAGTAGTGGTTAGAAGATCAGGCTCCGAGTCAGCCCACTTATGTTTGAATCCAGTCTGCCGCTTCTTGGTTATGTGACCTTGAGCGACCTAAACTCTTTGCCCCACTTCCTCCCCTATGAAAGAGTCAATGCCTCCCTCCTAGGTAGGATTTTTGTGAAAAATACAGGAAACACTGTGCATAAACTTGCAGTATAATACCTGGCCTCTTGTGTCTTAATTTTTGTCGTGCAGAGTAAACCTACTTTGCAGGTTCTCTCTAAGCCGTCTTGGAGAATTAATCTCAAATTTTTCTGAAAAGCTACTTTCTTGGTAACTTGTTAGAGGCTATTTCCCTTCTTCATTATTCCTTGCCAGGATTTTTTTCTTGGGTTTCAAAGAACTCATCAGGTAGAATAATAATAGTTCCCTGAATATACGCACCAGTTTTCTGAGCCCCTTCGGCTTCGCAGCGCAGGTGAACCCTGTCTGAACCACAGCTGGCAGCAGTGACAGAGGCTGGGTTATTATTACCTGCGTTTCATGTGAGGAGGCGCGTGACTCACGGAGAACATGCAGAACGGGATGCCCGAGCTTGCCCAGGGCCTTGGGGTGCTCCGATTCTCAGCCCCTGGGCACAAACCCTCCTCATCAGCCGCCCACACTGGAAACCCACGCATTCATGAAACCACTTCCTGAACTGTCACATTCTAGAGCAACAATAATGGCTAATTTGAATCCTACCCTGTAGAGCACTAGGGCATTGCGGCGATGCTGTTACATACATATCAAGTGGAAAAGCAGAAAGGCATCCAGAAGGCAGAAGGCAATGTTAAGCATGCAAAGTGGGGTCACTGACATGGAAATTCAGCGATATCTAATTCCCATCGCACCGGCATTATGTAAATATGTGAGTAGGTGGAATTTTGTCAAAATGTTCTGAATTATTACACATTACCCCCAGGTTTTAAAGATCAACATGTTGCCAAGAGGGTCTGTGTAATCCTTGTACGTTTGTAGTCGGTTTATGTTGTTTTTAGCTGATATTGTTTCTTAGAACCTACGCATTTACGTGCTTTGGAGGTGCTCCTGGATATGTGGCTTAGAAGTAACAATAAAATTAAAATATTTGGATATGAAAGGTATATGGCAAAATCTAGAATTATAGGATGTTAGTCTTCAAAGAGAAGTTTGAAGTAATATAGTTTGGTAACTTCCCCAGTCTGCTCGCCCATTTTACAGATGAGGAAACAAAGGCTCCAAGATATGATTTACCGAAGGTTACATTGATTATTAGCTTTTGTAAAATTATTATTGCATAATTAGGTTGACAGATTCCACATACGAAATGTATGAAACCAAGCAAATTTTGAGGGACGGTTGTATGGAACGGTGTTAACACCCGGTTTCACTTAGGAAAGTTTATGTCCATCTTTACCATTTCTGTTTTTTCACCATTCAGATTGTCATATTTTGGGTCATACCGTCAGGAGATCTGCAATCTACTATTTTCCCTGGTATTGTTTATTACTATTTATTATTATTATTATTTTAGAAGCATGTATCTGTGGTACAGAATGTTTACATCGATTGTGGAGAGTTGGTACATGTGCACAACACCTCTCAGTTCTTTTGGCTTTTCCCCTTCTCCCCCTTTCTTTCTCCTTCCCCTCTTGGTCCCTTCTTTCTTTCTTTTACATGTTACTATATATATTTTTTTTTTGCTAGTAGCTCGGGTTTGGGTCCAGATGAAAAAAAAAATTAAAAGTTTCACGCCCTGTTGGAACCTAAATTTCAGAGACACGTTTTCTGGCTTGGCTTTGGTTAGGGTAGGAGCAGGGCATGGAAGATGGCATCGCCCTCCCTGACTCCGCCTGTCCAAGCCTCCCTAAACCTGACACCCAGCCAGCGAGAACAGTCCCAGTCCACATCCTTACCAACTGCATCCTTTCATGCCTCATGAGCCAATTTACATGCTTCGTTTTCTCAGGGAGGTCTATTCACACTCATCTATCATATGCTCATTTTCTCAGGTGAGTTCTTTTCAGAATACTGTTTTTAAAAAAATCATATCCTTTGCCTTTGAGAAAAATCAAACTTTTCAATTTAATTTTTAAAAATAGTGTTGGACTGGGAACTGTAGCTCGTGTCAGAACGCTTGCTGCCAAGCATGAGACAGGGGTTGTGTATGTATTGTTGGCCAAGCAAGGAGCCGTCAAAGGGAAGTGATGGTTACCTGTCACACACTCTTACGTGACTGCATTCGTAAACCTCTCAGCCCTGCTCCCCAAACCCCACCGCGGTGTCAGCATGGATCACGTCTTAATATTTTTGTGCCATGCTTGGACATGTGTGTGTGCTTTGCCATTTTCACTTTGCTGGCGCAAGACACAAGCTCAAAGAAATAATTGTATGTTTAGTTTTTTCCAATTTGAATGTTACTGTATTTTTTGAACTACATTTTTCAGTTGAGTGCCATATTCACTTTGATAACTGATCATTCTCTTGTTTTCATATCTCGCTGCCAAAAGGGACTAGCTGGTTATCTCTGATTGCAGGCAATTCGAACTTTAAGTAAGCCTGTCTTTATCAACCACTGTTTTAACAGCTGATTAATTAGTGCTGTGGCGATCCGGGGGAGGCCTTTATCTGAAGAGCAGTTCAACCATTAGCAAAGGAAACTTCCTTGTGCACCAGCAGCTCAGATAACAAGGTAAGATAATCGTTCACAATCCGTCTTCGGCTAATGCAAACAGGAGCACTCCCTCTTATCCCAACACAGGGGCCAGAGAGAGGAGCTCTGCTAAATTCTCAAAATACCATGATCTTCAGTGGCAAAACCTCTGGTCATTTTTGTGAGTGCTTTTTGAAATAGCACCTTGCTATTTGCAAGCTCAAATAATATTCAGTAGCAGTTGGCTAGTCACAGAAGGAAGTCAGCGCCTGCCAAATTCTGCACTGAACGTGGGTGAGTCGGTGTTATCAGCCGAGAGTTAATATGTGGGCCCAAAGCCAGTCCTCTTGTTAGCTAGCTATGTGCTCTTGAACAAGCCACTTGCTGTCCTGCAACTCTGTTGCCCTCCCTGAGTGGTGGATTTAATAATGGGACCTACCTCCTGGTCCTATTCTCATTATTGTGAGAATTAATAAGCCGGTGCTTTTACATATTCTTAGAACGGTGACGGACACATGGTGAGTGCTCCGTAAATGTTGCTATCCTTACTACGTTGGGAGAGATGCAAGGAATTTCTGTTCTTTAAATCCTAATGGATTAGCCAGAGGTCATGAAATATAAGCTGACAGGATCTGAGGCTGTGATTGGGACAGACGCACCACTATCACCCCAGCAGCACCGTTATGATTTATACCAGCAGCAACTACTTCATCACGGTAGTGAGAGTCAACGTTGTTCTACGTGCTTCACAGATACTGATGTGTCTCACCTCAACAACTCTACGTGACAGGTACTATTTCTATTCCCCTTTTTACAGCTGATGGATTTGAAGCCCAGAGAACTGAAATGACCCGCCCAAGGTCACAGAGCTTGTCAAGGTACAAGGGATCTGACCGCAGGCAGCCTGGCCACAGACCACTTGCTCCTAAGCACTCAGATCGCAGTCATGTTGCTACTGTTACTTCATACGATGTGTCAGGCTCTCCCCATTTGTGAATGTGCAGAGGTGAAAGACTTATCAGTGACCCGAGCCTAATAAATTGGTTGAGCCAAAACGCAAAGCTAGGCCTTTCCTCACTCTTTTCTTTACCCTTTGCTGCCTTTTTTTTTTGTTTGTTTGTTTTTTTGAGACAGGGTCTCCCTATGTAGTTGAAACTGACTTGGAACTCACTATGTAGCCTAGGCTGGTCTCGAACTCACAGCGGTCCTCCTGCTTCAGCCTCCCCAGTGCTGGGATTACAGGCTTGCACCACCATGCCAGGCTGATGCCTCTTTCTTGTGAAGGTTTAGGGAAAAACAGGAGTTCCGGGTTAAGGAAAGCAAAGCGCTGGAGACCCAGGGATGTGCGGTTGAGTCATTTGCCCCTCCCCCACTTGGGAGCCCTGACCTCCTTTGGCCCTGGAGCTGAGGAGGAGGGGCTGGGAGCCTGTGGGTTTGGATCTGCTGCGGGGCGGGAGTTGTAGCTAAGTAGAGAAGTATGCAGGTGCAGACATCTGACTTATTTACCCAATTGTCTTTACGGGACTGATTTCTTTTCTTTCTTTCTTCCCCCTACTCCCCCCAGCCTGCATGCAAACCTGCCTAGCTTTAAAACATGACTTTCAAAAGGCCGACAGAGCCCTCTCAGTCACCCGGAAGGACCAGAAGGGGGTTATCAGGATCAGGCAGGGCAGAGCGGGCCCACCTGGGACTGGCCGCTGTCTCTCCCAGCCCTGCCCAAGTTTCAGGAGAGAAGCAGGGGCTTTGCTTCTTTCACATCTGCTCGCCGCTCCTGGCCTGTAAGCTCGGCGCACAGTAGGACGCACAGGAGCGGGAGGCAGTATACGGGGAGGAGACTACGTCGAATCGATCGGCGCGGGACACTCACGTAGCTATCAGAAGAAATTACTACCCCGGAAAAGTAGAATGTGATGTAACACTTTTAACAGCCCGAAGCAACTGAGAATACTTCAAGGCTGAAGTAGGAAAAAGCTCAAAGCCATCTTTGAGAGGAGTAGAATAAGCCAGGCAAATGTTTACAACTAGAGCTTCGTCGTATTAAGCAAAGGCGTATGCAGTTTGCCCTTGAGATAGTTTCTCCCTTTCACCTGACACCGATCAGCCCGGAGAAGTAAGTGTAGGAATGCTTTTGTGATAGCAATGCTTTTCTGAATATAAAAATCACAATTAATTTTGAGCGTAAAACATTAAGCCTCTTTCTACACAGTGCAGACTGTAGCATAGGCCTTGACTTCTTCCTTCTTCTGTACCTACCCAGGAGATCCCAAGCCATTTTTCCTGCTAAATTCCTCAGAACATCTACCTCTGATCATCTGATGGTGGATCCGTCAAAGCGACTAACTGACCCGCGGGGAATAGATCCCGAAGCCTCAATCCCTCAGCCGTGAAGGAAATGTCACATCCATTATGCAGGAAAGTTGGCAGGGCACTGGGGCTCCGCGACCAGAAGAACTTGTTCAGCTATTGCCTGAACATTTATGGAGAGGCTCATGCGCGCAAAGCCCTGGGGCACGGGGGGAGGGGTCCCACATGTGCACTGCCTCAAGGAATATCCAGTTACAGAGTCAGCAAGAAGGTAGCTGTTAAGTTCCATGGGAGATGCCCAGATGATGAGCTACCGGAGTGTGGACACATGAAGTACTGCGTCGGTCCCGGTGTTGTGCGTGTTGCTGTCGGAACACTTTCCTTGGCTTTTCCTAAGAGCAAAAGCTGAGCAAGTGTCACAGCGGATGAATGTCCTCTGAGAAACGGCAAACATACATAACATCTTGGTGACAGAGTATTTATTGGCAAAAGACCTTTGTGTTAGTGTTTATTACAAATACCAAAAAAAAATGCGAAACTTGTAGGAGACTTTCAACGAGCTACTGTGCAACCATTCAAATATCACATAGAATAATATTCAACCAGGAGAAAAATCATAATATATTGCTGTGGTTAAAAATCATACTTGCAAATAATTATTTACTTATGGGTGCTGGTGTGTAATAATAATCCGAAAGCGCAGGTACCAAAAGGTTAACTTAGCGATGGTTATCACTATGCCATTGAATTATTTGTGTGTTTTTTTTTTCCACTGAGATTTTGTCCTCCAAGTTTTCTCCCCGAGAATTGCATCTCCAAGGCCAGAGACTCGTCAGGGAGTACGATCATCTCATTAGTTCATTTCATTTGTTCCTGAGACAACTTCTTAGACTGCTTGGTCCTCCTGACTGAAGCTTCTTCCCTTTTAATCGTCCCACTGTCTTGGCTCTGACAGTGGTCAGAACCAGACTAGGAAAGCCCTGTTTCATTGGTTTTGCCTAGAGGTAACTTGAGTTTTTACCAGTGAGTGTTTCTTATTTGGTTTCTCATGGGAATTTTCTCTCTTCGTTCTGTTTAAATATTTGTACATCTATGTCTACGTTGCCTCTTGTGTTTCCCCAGGACACCTGCCTTAGGGATAAATGAGGGTGTGGATGGGATGGGCAGGAGGTGCGATTGCAGCCAGGCCGGGGTGCCACGCTCCCTCCCCTCAACTCCAGTCCCAGGGGGTTTAAACTCCTGGAAGGTACAGTTGAAATGACCTACTTCACTTCTGTGTCCCTCGGCCCTGTTTCTGCCCATGCCACTGTCCTGTGTCCTGCCTTCTTGTCACCACTGGCCAGAGCACCAACCATTCCGAGGGGAGATCCCTTCTCCACTCTGCATGTTTAAGCTAACCTTCCATGGCTTGAAGGACCAGCTACATGGGGCCATGACTCGCACAGCCCAGAAATGTCTCATGCTTTGCTTAGGGCTTTACTGTTGTTGGCTTACGATTCTTCATACATTTTGATCAGGGCACTGTGCACTGTCTTTTTTCTTCATTGGGCCCTGAAAGTCATGTAGCTTGTCCTGATGTTTTAGTCTGCAGCTCGAGGTTTGTGTGGGTGCTTACAGCTGGCCATTTCCATATTGAAATTCCAGTCCTGCCTGTGTGATCCTGAGTGAGCTGCCTGGCCTGTCTAGGTCTCAGTTTCTTCGTCTAAAATAGATATATGGTGCCGCTGTCAGTGATAACACATGTGATAGTACTAATACCTACTAGATAATAAGAATGTAGTTTATTAAGTAGTTAAAGCTGTAAGACCCACCTTTCCCCAAATGTAACCTTGCTCTTTGAATTTAATTTTTCTCTTGATTAAGCAAACAAATTAGTTTGCTAGCGCTAAGGTTAGCTGGTGTTTGGGACACCTTCCTCTAGAATCGCCTGCTAATAATGCCAAATGGAAGGATCCAACCAAGCTCTCCGCACTTGTCTGGCTTAGTAATAGCCTCCCTGACATTCTCTGCAAAGGCCAGGATGGTCTTTCTCTACCAGGAGTGTGAACACAGGGGCTACCTGAAATGTCCGTATTTTCTGCCCTATCTTTGCTGGTTGACACAGAGAGGCCCTCAACAAACAAAGCTCTCTGGGGGAGATTCTGAGAATCCGAATTTTGAAAATGAGTGTTTGGGCTCAATCCCCTCCTGGTCCTGGCCTTACCTTGTTTTCAGGGCACACCTGACCTCAGGTTTGCTTTTTGTTCCATTGCCGGTGTCTGCAGTCATGATAACAAGAATACTTCCTTGGGCAGTCACTTACTTTGCTGTATACTTTTTTTTTTCCCCGATATACTGATACTGGTGCAATTTTATCCTTGAAACTATACAAAGAAGGGGTCACTATGATAGCCCCATTTTCCCAAACATGAGAATGAGTGGTAGAAAGTGAGGTGACTTATTCAAAGTTACCCAGGCAGCTGATGATAAAATTGATCCTAGGGAGAGGCTAAGTCTCGTTCATTAGTTCACTGAGTCTCTACTGGATGTGGTGCTGGAGAAGCACCACAGAAGCAGATAACGTCCCTGCCATCAGATAGCTTATGGTCTATTTGGTAGAGACAGCTATTAAACAGATAGCTATTGGCCATACATGTAAAATTTCAGTCTTGCTGAATGCTGGGAAGAATCACTGAGAGCCAGTTTCTGAGTGGTCAAAATTTCCTCATTCAAAATGCTTCTTCTAAAAGAACAAGATGCAACTCTATGTTTAGAAATGTGTGTGACTTTTTGTTGTTGTTGTTGTTGTTGTTGGTTTATTTGGTACTCTAATAAATACAGGATTTCTCTTAAAACAAAAGACCTTACTGTGTTAGGTCGATGTAGACAACTTTCAAGTCTTCTGTTCTTTTAGTGACTCTCAGCAGGACAGAAGCTGTGGTAGAACAGTCCAGCTTAAATGGGTAGATGTGGGTAGTGGGGGACTGAGAAATTATGGGCTGTTTGGACCTTTAGAAATGGTCTGCCATCAGCAAGGTTCGACATTTTACCTCACAGTGGAACATCATGCCCCAGAGCATCCCCTTGCTGGGTCGTAAAAGGCAGTGGTGGGCAACACCACCATTGGCTCTCAGAGCTGAGGACTCTTCCTGTGACATCTGTTTATTTATAGAAGTACATTTCTTTGGGTACCATGCTGGACACTGGACACGAAGAGGGAGACACAAAGGATGAGATCTGTGTTTCTGAGGAGTGGAGGGAGACTGTAAGCAAAGTCATGGGTTAAATATCATGAGAAAATGGGCAAGTCCCTGAAGAAAAGAGACCGAGACTGAGGGAAAGAACCACTGGTTGCCAAATAACCCTAAGATTCAAATAAGTGAATGAGTACAATAAAGGAAAGATGGTAGGGAACTAGAAGGTGGACTCTTGGGGAGGAGGGAGGGGCTGGAGGAGGGGAGAGAAAAGGAGAGGGTTAAAAGAATTGAAAATGACAGAGATACATTAGACGTACCCACCAATTCCCCAAAATGAGTATCACCATTCTGTACTACAGACAGGTGCTGAGAAGAGAAGAAAAGGAAGCCTCTCTGAAGAGAAAGTGACGGTCTAGCTACAATGTGAAGAATAAGATGGAATTCACGTTGATAAATTAAAAGGAGACAATTTTCCAGGCAGAAGGAACAGCATTTGAGGAGAGGTATGGAAAAGAGACAGAAGGACTAAGGCCTACAGAGTACACCTGAAGTAGTAATTATTGCTAATATGTCACAGAAGTTTAAAGGCTAGCTAAATCTCTAAATTCAAGGACCAGGGTGTATTTGGGATGTGTTAAAAGTTCCTTTGGGTAAATGCAATGTAACACAGGACACCTTGATAACGGTTATGACATTGCAATTATCAGAAAATCTGCTGTTGCTTCGTTTTGTTCCCAGTCGTACATTGTGTGACTTAAAAATGTTGAAGGCCACTTTCCCATCTTTGGCCTGTATTACTTGTTTTCCCCTCTATGCCAATTTTGTGCTTTGTATTCACGGTATTGGGCTTTGAAACAGAACTACTTCCTGTAGCCACCTGTGGGGCAGAGGGGCACCTTGCTGTCCTTCCCCCGATTATTTGAAAGCCCTTACTCTGTCTGTTACCAAGTGAGGCCTCCTTTCTCTCGACCGAGTGCATATTACTTTAATGTGGCCCTGAAAGCAGGTTTATAATCTGAAGAATAAACAGATTGCTTGTCAAATTCTCTTTGTCTGTTCCGTTGTGACCTAGTAACATTTACACTGCTTTGAGGAAACATGGCAAAGGAGATGGATGCCTCCATCAACCGTTTCCAATTCAGGAAAATGTGATTACAGTGGCTTTCAGGCTCAGGGTGGCACCCTGCCCCCGGCAAGGCCATCACCAGCCACAGCCAGGGACCACGGCTGAATGCGCGGTAGTTATTCACAACTTTGAGTCATTTTAGAATGTTCCCTTGAAAGCGTGGATGCATAGATGACACTTTTGTTTTTGAACGACAAATCTCCTTTTCTAAAGCCACTGTTCTTGGATTCATTTTTTTCCTTTATTGTATTTAGATAGATGTTGAATATGCATTTCTAAGAATCCATGAGTTTTAAAGTACAAAAGCCACAGAGATAGAGAAATGTTTCCTAGCGATAAAGCAAAGCATTTCTGAAAGTTCTGCAGTGGCGTTTCGGGGTCCTGTAGCACATGGGGCCATCTCAGCTTTTACCTCTTCCCTTTGCAGACCTGGAATCCAGGAGGGTCTTTGACACAGCCTGTCAAGACTTTGGACAGCGTGAATAATTAGGAAATTCTTCCTAACATGGAACCAGAACCCACCTTTCTTTTCTATTCATTGGCCACACTTTGGCCCTGCAGGAGGCAACCCAGATATTTACTCTGCTGAAATTCTCTTCAGAAAAGAACAGTGAACTCAATTTCTCCAGACATCTGGTTTGAATTAATTACTTCACAGATGTTTTTTTTCCTCCTAAGTGGCACCAAATTTCTTTATGATTTAAAAATCACATTCTTTACCTTATAAACAAAACTTTCCAAATTTTTAAACACAAAAAATGTTTCGATTATTTCTTATTTGGAGGAGGCAGGTTTCCTTTAATGTTTGTATGCAAAAATTAACATATTTCTGAATATGGTGGGGTTTTTTCTCTCTTTCCTAATAGCATGTTGAGATTTTAGGAAAATATTGTGACTGAATAGA